TATACTTGGTACCAAAGTACTCGTCGCAGAAGCAAGTATTCTTTTTTTTTTTGCTATATCCTTATATATGAAATTTTGTAGCCAATCAAATTTAGTTTACGATTAGATTCTAGAAAAATCGACATGTAGATCATCGCTATGCCAAATTTGGAAAAACACCGGACTGAATTTAGTTGATGGTCCTAATTACCTATTTTGGTGAAATAATGTGTATTACTTATAAACAAATAGCAAAAATCATCAAAAATTGACTAACTTTGTAGACCAGATTATTTAAGGGTTTATTATAAACCACCCTTAAAATTTTATAAAAAGATGCTTCAAATGCTAAAAAATTTACAAACTTAAACTCAGAAAATAAACTAATAGCTTTTTCTTGCTAAATAAGTCAAAAAATTAAAATTTGCCTAAATTTTACTTATGAAATTTAGGTGCATCAATTATTTAACTCATAAGTAAAAAAATTAACTGATATATATATATATTTAGTAGTGCTACCCAATTCACTTCACTGAAAGTTCATTTATCCAAATTTGGTCTGAATTATAACTATTTTGGCCAATATTAAGTGCTTATAAATTTCATATTTTATAATAATTTTAAATAATTTTGCTTAGTTGAATATAAACTACTGTTGTATTATTGTATTAAGTATTATAAAATAGACCAATTCTATTTTGACCTGGGTTAAAGTAACCTATCATGTGATTATATGACCAAGAATTTTTAAAACTTTGAGCAAAAATATCTCAACAATCCATTAAACCAATTTTAATAAATCTTTTTTTATTTGAATTTTATGGATTCATAAAATTCAAATAAAAAATTTTTCATCAAATTTGTCAAGAAATCTTTGCTCAAAGTTAAAGAAAAATCAAAATGCCTATAAAATAGAAGTTGTATCAAAATTTTATTTTAACTTTTATCAAAGATATTTTGACAACTATCAAACCAAAATTAATAAAATATTTTTTTTTTTGAATTCTATGGATTTATAGAATTCTAATAAAAAAATTTCATAGAATTAGTCAAGTGTTTGCCAATACATCTTCACTTAAATTTAAAAAATAAATTAACCGCTTATCAAAATAGAAGCTGCATTAAATTCTTTTTAAAGCTTTGATCAAAAATAACTTGACAACCATCAAACTAAATTTGATAAAACTTTTTTTATTTGAATTTTATGAATTCATAGAATTTGAATAAAAAATTTTCATTGAATTTAGTCAGATGGTTGTCAAGATATTTTTGCTCAATGTTAGAAAAAATCAAACTGTCTATCAAAATACTATATTCTTTTAAAACTTTGAATGAAGGTATCTTGACAACTATCAAACCATTTTGTTAAACTTTGTATTGGAATTTTTTGGGTTCATAGAATTTGAATAAAAAAATTTTCATTAAATTTAATTAAGTGGTTGTTGAGATATATTCGCTCAAAATTAGAGAAAAGTCAAAACCACCTATTAAAATAGAAGAGGACACTTAAATATTACTGGACCCAGTGATTGATGATCACATGATAAACATATCATGACCAGGGTTGTCATTGGACTTATTCCAGTTCCTTATAAATACTGGACTGGAGTGAACTGGATTTTTGTATAAGTCCAGTTCACTTATTTTGTTCAGTCCAAATGGTGTAGCTTATTGTCATTGGACAATGTCCAATAAACTTGAGTTGGGTTGATTGGAATAAGTCCAGTGGACTATTTCTAGTAGGTCCACACATAGCATCATTACCAAACTTAAGCTTGTACTTAGTTGCTGCTTAAAATTTATTTAAAGCTAATTATTTTAACACAAAACTTATAAAATTTATTCGAATTACTTAAGAATTTATCTAGCTATTGTAAATATTAAATCTGATGTCGAAATCTACAATTTAAAATATAATTGAATTAAATATCTAATTCAGAATTTGCGTTAATACAATAAATATTTATATATATATTAGTAAATTAAGCACATACATATCATATTAATATATATGCCTAATATTGGATATATATACAAGTTACTATATCGATATATAACTTTATTTTTAAAAAGCAAGAATACTTAAATTTTATTTATATAATAACTAATTAATAATGCAGCTATATTTATACGTAGCTAGATAAATTCTTAAAAAAAAAAAAAACTTCTGTGAATTAACACAGATAAAAAAAAAAAGAAAAAAAAAAGATCTACATTTCATTAATATAAGAAGGCAGATCTAACTTTTCAGCAAATAACTCACTAAGCATCTATTTGGCATGACTATCTCTTTGAGGATGTTCATGATTTAAATGAAAATCCGAAGATAATTCAGTTTTATATAATAAGTCTATTGTATCTTCCTCTCAATTATCATCTAATTTTTTATCTTCAAGTATCGATTCTTATAAACTTAATATTTTCTCTAAGTTGTGTCTATTTCTTTTTGCAAAGTCTTGATTAACTAGTACTTGTGATTCATCTTCGCTATCAGTGTCTTGGTCTATATCATTTGTTAGTACTTCTAGTTCTTGGGTTAGACCTTCATTAGCTTTGTGTAATGTAGTAGTTATTGTAGAATCATGCATTTGTTTAATTTGTTGAAGTTCATGGTTTTGATAAGCTTAATTTATTATACCCTTTATTTGAGCTATTGCTAAAACTTTAGAATACTAAAAATAAATAAATAAATAAATATATAACTATATATGTTTTTTAATACATTTATTTTTTACTTTTAATCAGCATATTGAAGCTGAATGTAAATGATCTATTGAAGACTATAATCTTTTAACTGATGCAGCATTGATACAAATACCTATTATTTAACAAGCTACAAATCCTAACTCTTTTGTACTATGTGAATACCAATTCCAATATTTAAAAATATCTTGCTTAAATTGATCAAATGATGCATCATTAAATGGAAATTTTTTAGTTCAATAATTATCAAATTCCTGTAAAATACTTGTTGGTGTAGTACCTGTCCAAGCAATATAATAATAAAGTAAATATTCACTTAAATTAACCCAGTTCAAATATACTAAATTATTATTGAACTTATCAAGACGATATTTGGGGTGAAGAACCTATAATAAAATGATTATGGGTTGCTCCCATTGTTGCCAATGTTTTTCTAAACGATTATGTAATTTTACACTAAATTGTGTATTAGAAAGTTTGGATAAAAATTGATAAAAGTATCCAAAAGAATGAATTATATTATAAAAACATGCTTTATCTCGTTGTAAAATATTTAAACAACCACAATATGGTAAAAGAAGTTGTTTAATAATTGCTATATTTTGCCAAAATTTAGAATCATTAATTGGATTACAAATATAACTAAATAATACCAAGTTATTATCATTATCTTCAATTAATTCTTCGTCAATATCATTTTGAGGTTCATATCGTGCTACAAGTGTCTAATAAAAAATATTTAAAATAATTATTTTAACAAAATATATAAAATAAATAAAGTTAAAATTACCTTTAGAGCTTTTTTGGTTTGTAGAAAACTACTAAAACAGTAATAATAACTGTTTCAACATGTATCACTAGGAACAATTAGGGCTTGTAACTTTTTATATATTTGTATCTAAATATCACGAAGCTTTCCAGCAAAATAAATATGCCTTTTACTTTTAAAATACATTGCAATACATGTAGCTTCTAAAGCAGTAATTTTAAATATATCTGATTCTTTGAAAATTTTGCCTATATACAAATTAGCTTGGTGTGCAAAGCATAGCAAGTATGTAATTTTAAGATTTTCAACTTGGAGTTGTTTCCTTGCTGCAGCATATGATAAATGACTATCTGTTACTATTGCTGCTATTTTTATTCCCTTATCTGTTACAGTTTTCATAATTTCATTGATTTTATTTTACTTCTTCTGTACATGCTCTTTCACCACTAATATCAGCTGCTTGCCAAACCAATACTTCACCAGAACTTGTAATTAAAATACTTTCTATAATTGATTGATTTATAACATTTATCCAACTGTCTATAGCTAGAGTAATACTATAAGAATTTTCTTTAGACTTTACTTTAATATTTGCAATCATCTGATTTGAAACACATATTAAAATTTCACTACTTAATTTTCACTATTCAGGAAGATTGCATGAAGGATTAACAATACAATAGTATCTGGATTTTGAACCTAACGAAAACTCCACCCATTTGAAATTGTTGCTTTCAATAACAAATAATTGAATCTATCTAAATTATTTTCTGTAAAATAGCAAAGAGCAAAATTATCTAATGGTCTATTACTTAAAGATTTGGCCATTGTATGCAAATTTTGAGCATTAGCAGATAATGAACTTGATGCATAACTTGATAATGAGATATAATATGACTGAGCTAAGATAATTGATTCATTATTATCTTGTTGTATACGAAATCTTTTTCCTTGACGTTTTTGCATTGTTGCTTCACTATCTATATTATTTACAATTGCCTGTGCTTCATTTTCACCATATTTTTGCTTAAAAAATTCGCATTTTTTAAAATGATCTTTGCAACATTTTTTAGTATTTGTAAACTGTTTTTCAAGTGCATAAAGATGTTCTTTTATCTCTAGACAAGCTAGACATATTGCATATTTGTTATATTCATTAGCTTTTTGATCAAGTACTTCAATATAAGAAGTTAACGTGACATTATTCTTGGTGTAAAATTATCAAATAACCTTTTCTTTTATACTTTATAAAAGAATTAATCTAACTTGTTAATTAGAATATTAAAGTTAAATTATAAAAAATTCATTGCCATTTAATAATAATTATATAATAACGGTAATTGTAAAGTTTTTATATTTAATTTCAATTAACTACTATTTTTATCAAATTCATGTTTTAAACTAGATTAGTATATATAATTGTTATAAAGTTTTATTTGCTATTTTTTTTTATATTTTAGCTTCGTAATAGTAAGGATTTAATTTCTATTTAGTTAATCTGTTAATTATACATTGATGCTAATATAATTCATATAAAAATTATAGAATTTGTACATATTAAGAATTATTATAATAAGGAAAGAGACTATCTTTTATAACAAGTTATATATTGCACAGCCAAATATAAAGATATAAAGTGTATCAGTATATACGTATCAGATATCTAATTTTTAAAAGCTCTTATTTATTTAATTAATATTAATATGTTTAATCATCTATTATAATAATCGGGTTAGTAATTCTGATAATTCAAGTTTTATACAATGAAATTAACACTTTTAAATAATCTATTTATAAAAAAAATAATATTCTTTTTATTACAAAACGAGTATTTTTGTTATAAGCTCTTATATTCTTATATTTACATAATGAGAAGGCGACTTCTTAGTAGTTCTACTTGGAGTATTAGATTTGGTAAGTATACTAACTACAATTATTCATTTATGTAATGTATTCTTTATAATCTCAGAAGATTATATCAACCGTTTTTTTATATTTACTTTTAATAAACTTAACTAATTTAAGAATTCTACCAGTTTTTTACTACTACGTACTTCCTTCACTATCGATTATTCTTAGATTTTACAGATATATTTCTCTGTCATTTACCTATTTTTAGACTTTTCTAATTTTCCCACCACCAATTTATTTTTTATATCTACGACTATAAAATCTGGGCTTATCGATCATGAACTATTCTTAATTTAGTTGTATGGGCGGGCCATTCGATTGTCTATGAGGCAATTATGCATATTTCATTCATTAATCGGGTCCTGGGCCATGAGCGTCAATCATTCTTGTTAGGTTACAGGCTTTTTGTTTAATTGTTATTAAGTATTTCGGGTTGATCTATATTATTATTTCTGATTGGATAATTTTTATTTCACATGATTGGACTATAATTGGACCCTATTATATAAGTCCAGCTACTAACGGTCCAGTGGCATTCCAGTGGACTGGACTAATCCGAATGACATGACGTAATTTGTTTACCAGAATTAAACAAACTGGCCAAAACTAACCTCTACCCTAACCCTAAACTAACCCTAAACTAACCCTAACCTAGGCCGAGTGATTATCATGTGATACTG